ATAGAGGTATCTGGGAATGGTGCACACTGAGGGAACTTAAAACACTCGCTGCCCAAAAGCACCTAGATTCACGAGTACTTGGAAAGTAATTTAAGGGCTGGAGAGGTAGCTCAGTTCGTAAAATGTCTCTTTTACAAGAATGAAGATCTGAGTTTGGTCCCCAGAACCTATGAAGCAGAGAAGTTAGTCAGCGTGGTGTATACTTGTAATCTTGGCACTGAGGAGGCAGAGACAGGAGGGTCCCTGGGGCTAGCTGACCAGCCAACCTAGCCTAATCGATGAGCTGCAGGCTCATGAGACACCATGTCTCCAAAACAAAATGGTGGGCAATGCCCAGGGAACAACACCCTAAGGTTGTCTTCTGGCCCCCACATGCACAGGCACACACATGCATGTACCCCCAAAACATGAACACACACACACACACATACACACCCCTCAAGTCCGATGGGTCAGAGTATTTAGCTCATTGCCGTCAGACAGCCCAGCCGGAAGCCCTTCTGCTCCCCACCCCCACACAGTGCACCCCACCTGTGAAGACCAGCCCTATGTCTGCTGGCCAGGTATGTCAAGAGGAATTTGCTACATTACCCCTTTTCCATCTTTGCACTTGGCCCTTTTACGCCCTTGGAGGACTGAGACCACATCTGCCTTTGTATCTGTGTCCCAGATGCCGCAGAGCCCTGTGGGTTAAATGCCCTCACGGTCAGACTCCGCATCCTAAGCCGATATGTTAAAAGTATGTTTGCTCCATGAAGCCCCAAACTCCAAGGGGCACTGGCGGGCTCTAGGTTGAAGTGTGTCCCACTTTTAGCTCCTTCTTCCTGCCTCTTGGACCCCTAAGCCATTTTTGCTTTAGCCTCGTGGTAAAAATGATGCTGTTTGGAAAAATCAAATCAGAAAATGGATGGGGGAAGGAAAGAAGGACCTTTAGAATGTAAGAAATATCACCAAACCAAACCAAAGCAAAAATAAACAGCCAAGGGCTAATGATGACTCATGGCATCCACAGGCTACTCTGCTCCCATGTCCTGAGAGAGGGCAGGCTTGGCCCTCTGTCCTTTTGATGTGGTCAATTTGAACTTGGCCTCATCAGACCATGAGAACCTCCGGGGTCAGACAGTGTCCCCGGGTCTGAGAGCCCCGAGGAGCTGACCTTACAAGCATCCAGAGACCAAGCTCTCCCAGAAGGGGGAGGCCACATGTGCCCCAGGAGACCAGTGCCTGCAAGTGACAGCCATGCCCCAGGCACTGTGCTCACAGGCCAGGCTCTGTCTGGTGGCACCATGCCCCCATGACATCTTGATAGCAGCTCCGATCGATCTCCCTCTGTGCCGTCACCTGCTCTTTCTACCGGCCTTTGTGAATATTCCTCCAGGAAATGGAACAAAAACATTTCCACCACATCCTCTCTGAGTTGCATTACCCCTCCACAGGTCGCTGCAGCTGGGGGGAGGGCAGCGGGCCTCAGTGTTGTCAGCCACATGGGCTGCGCTGCCATACCGACATCACTAGGTGCTTCTTACGTCCCCACAGGTCATTCAGCCCTGGTAGTGGCCTAGGGACAGAGTTGTTGGAGATCTGCTGCCACCATGGCTACCACCACATATCCAGAGTTTGAAGGAGTGTAAAACTTGAAGCCCATGAAGGAGGGAAAGATGCCTCCAGCCTTCAGCCCAGCTCCCCATGGAAAGCCCACATGGGGTTTCCCAGTTCACTGCCTTTCTCCCAGGACCTGCATTCTTACTCTTGGGTGATAAACACAGAATGGGATCCTAGACAGGCTTGTTAACCCTTTCTGCTTCAGCTCATGCTTTAGACCAGTGGCTCTCAACCTTCCTAATGCTGTGACCTTTTAATACAGTTCCTCATGTTGTGGTGACCCCCAACCATAAAATGATTTTTGCTGCTACTTCATAATTGTAATTTTGCTGCTGTAATGAATCGTAATGTAAATATCTGAAAGGCAGGATATCTGATATGCGACCCCTGTGAAAGGGTCATTTAACCCCCCCAAGGGGTCATGACCCACAGGTTGAGAACCACTGCTTTAGATGGCTTCTCATGGGAAGATAGGTGGTGGTGAGTGAGAATCTGTCCCTCTGGCAGCCACAGGGTAGGGGAGGAGAGCTTGATGAGCTGCAGATGGGCAGGCGGTGCCTATGATCTTTGAGGCTGTTGAGGCCAAGCCAAGCCCATGGTTAGGCCTGTGGGGTGCTTGTTTATGCAGTGTGCTTGAGGGAGGTGGCTTCTGATTGTCTCCTCGTGCTGGGGCTTTTGAGCCTGTGATGTATGTGGAATCTAAAAAAAGCAGGTTGCAGGAGCATCCGTGTGCCCTGCCAGGGTCCTGCCTTGGATTACCACCTGCAACTTCTGCATGCTCTGTTATGGCAGGTCCGCCCCCCTCCCACTTGTTAGTTCTCTCTTTGTCAGGAAAGGAGATGGCAGTCAACTGTAAGACAATAAACACGACCACGGTTCTTAGATGAACACGCTGGTGAGACCAAGATGTCCCCAGCATTGAACAGGGCAGCAGAGGTGGAGTATGGTGGCACTGAGTAGGGGACTCTGCACCTGCTGCCTGTCTGGAGTATCCTGACCTCACCCAGTGCTTCATTTGGGCCCTAAATAAAGACCGTAAATTTTAGGGTCTCATGGAAGCTGCAGATGCTGAGTCTTCTGAGCTCTCTTGATCTGCATTCATTCACTCACTCACTCACTCACTCACTCACTCACTCACTCATCTGTGTGCACTTCAGTGGGCACAAGTACATACCCCATGTGTGCCAGCCATTGTGAAAAACACAGTTGTCTAAAACTCTAACAAGTAGTGTGAAAAGTGCCCCAGTCCTTCCAGTAACAGGATAAACTCAGCTGGCATGGGTGTCCCTTTTCAAAGGAACCAAGGAACGCTAATTGTGTCCATGGACTAGAGAAGAGAAATGCTCATGTAAAGGGGACTCCAAAGGCCAGGTGGTGAGTGGCTTCAGAGCTTGGGAGAGATTTGAGCACATGTAGACATGGCCTTTCCATGGGGTTCAGGAAGCTGAGACAGTCCAGGCATAGAGAGAGATAGGGGTCAGCCATACTCCCTGCCTATGTAAGGGGCTGTAAATGCTCCATGGTCCAGGAACTTGCATGGGGAATGTGCTCTCTTTCCAGCATCTCAGGTGGCGAGGGGATATATAGGAAAGTATCTACAAGATATCAGAACCTTAGGCCTGTACTGCACAAGGTTGTAGAATACAAATTATGTGCTCTATCTTGTCCCAGAAGCCACAAATAAAGAAGCCGTATATCCAGGATGCTTCAAGGCAGACACTCAAGTATAGATAAGAACACAGAGAGGGACTGGAGAGGTGGCTCCATGGCTAACAGTGCACTTCCTGCTCTTGTAGAGGACCAGAGTTCAGTTCGGTTCCCAGCACCCATATCAGGTGGCTTACCACTGCCTATGACTCCAGCTCCACGGAGCCCAAAGAGCTCTTCTGGCCTCTTCAGGCACTCATCCACCCACCAAAACACACACACACACACACACACACACACACACACACACACACACACACGCGTAATAATAATTACAACAAGAACATAAAATCTTTTTTTAAAAACAACACTGAAACAAAAATAAAATAAAGACAAAATCAGCTAAGAGAAGAAACAACCACCAAGGAAAAATAACATCTGTAAAACTACAGGTGTGAAAAAGACATCAAACCCATGTGACCAGCCTCCGCCAATTCTCAGCATTATCAGAATTGAGGGCCCTTGGAGACACAGTCCAGGTCGGGCCAGAGAGGTTGCACATAAGGTGCTGTCCTGATTGGGGTCCAGAGACATCAGGAAAAGTTGACAAGAATCTAAATCTGCTGTCCCATGTGAGACCGTAATGTCTCATTGAGGAAAATGTACCCTTTTACATAGACTTTAAGAGCTGGGGGGGCTGAGGGGCTGAAGGGATGGCTCCATGTCGAAAGTGCTTGCTGCACAAGCACGACAACCCGGGTTCAGATCCCAGGCACCCACATACAAAGCAGGGCAGGGTGGCACACATCTGGAATCCCAGAGTTGAGGGCTGGAGACAGCTGGATCTTGGGGGCTCCCTGGTCAGCAAGTGTAGCAAACAGTGTAAACTCCAGGTTCAGTGAGAGACTCTGTCTTAAAAAATAAGGTGGAGAAATAGGGGGAAGGTACCTGAAATTACCCTCATACCTCTGTGCATGCACATACATACAAAAGAATCCAACAGCTGGATAGGAGGCATGTAGTGTGTGTGTGTGTGTGTGTGTGTGTGTGTGTGTGTGTGTGTGTGTGTGTGTGTGGTCTCGGAGCTTCTCCACCCAGCTAAAGATAATCTAAAGTAAACACTGTTTTGAGGTTGTAGAAATGAAGGATGCTTTTTAACATTTAGTGAAAAATAGAAATCCAACCATCAGCCAGTAGTTCTGCACCAAACAGGAAGGTCTGAAAAGACCCACTGCAAACGCTGATGAAAACAAAGCAGGCACTGCAGTCTCAGCTCCGCTCCTGAGGTGGGGAGCCACAGAACGAATAGAGGAATATCTTATGAAAGGGGAGCAGACCGCAGGATGACGTGATAGGCATGCGTTTTTATGCACCTGCAGCGTGAGCTCAGAAGGCTTAAAAGCAAACCATGTTGGAACCGTGAGGAGAGAAGCTAAAACTGCAGTCTTGTGGGGAGCACAGTGTCTCTTTGGGAGGCTTGTTAAGAGCATGGCTGAAAAGTGAACAGAATGGAGAGCAGGCATTGTATCCTGGGTAAATCTTTTTTTTTTTTTAATCTGAGTCTATTTTTATGTGTGAGTAAGGGTACATGCATGACACAGCATGTCTCTGGGGGTCAGAAGACAGACTCAGGGGGCAGCCCTTGTTGTGAGGCAACAATTTTCCTGGGGAGACACAGCACATGTCTGCTCTCCCCAGGGAGGGAGCGCACAACAGAACAAAGTGAAAATTCCACCGAACTTGGTGGATAAACCAATGAGTTTTATTGGGGTCACCCACAGGCGCAAAGACAGCTGCATCAGCACAGGTGACAGCTCACGGGTCACCCACAGGCGCAAAGACAACTACAATACCAAAGCATGGGTGACAGCTCACGGGTCACCCACAGGCGCAAAGACAGCTGCATCACCGAAGCATGGGTGACAGTTCACAGGTCACTCACAGGCGCAAAGACAGCTGCATCACCGAAGCATGGGTGACAGTTCACAGGTCACTCACAGGAGCAAAGACAGCTGCATCACCGAAGCATGGGTGACAGTTCACAGGTCACTCACAGGCGCAAAGACAGCTGCATCAGCACAGGTGACAGCTCACAAAAGCTGGGAAACCTGGAGCGCTCTGCACATCGGCAGGCAGCTCAACAGGCTGGAGAATGTCTTTTCCAAGTGACTCTGCTCTAAACTCTTAGCGACAGCTCGGCTGGCTTCTCTTTCTTCCAGGTAGCGGTCTGGTCTCAGAGTCTTCTTATAGCTCCTCTCCCCTGAGCCTCTTCTTAACAGCTTAGGTGCAGCTTCCTGTGAAAAGAGATGCTCCATTTTCATTGCTTACTCTGGCAGGCGGGGGGGGG